CACAATCATCATCACAACAGCCTGCCACCTTGCATTGTATTTATGATGTAGACTAAGGCACACGCAGGCAGGCACACACACACACACACACACACACACACACACACACACACACACACACAATTAATGTCCCATCTCCAAAACAATCAACTGCCTTAGCAAAATACCGGTAGCAATGTTAATGTATGACAACTTCTTCATAATTAACAGTATTGTCAGCTTCATAGCTAAAGTTGCTGAACTTACCCTCAGATTCAAGTCTGCGTTTCTTTATCTGGGGGGAGGCAGTGGTCCGCTGGGTGAGTTGACGCCTCTTTGGCTGGGGAGGGCGATTGTATCCCAACCACAACTCTGGGAAAGGATTATCCTTGGTAGGTTTTTGGTCAACAAAGTGATAGGAACAAACAAAAACTTTGAGGGGTGGTTTCTTTAGATTCAATGCCTTCAGCCAGGTCCTTGATTCCGAGTTGGTATCAGGCTTGCGAAAAAATGTAAACAATGGAGGGCATGGACATTGCCTCTTTGTAGCTGGTTTGTGGTCGTAGCACTCTCTATCTAACCACTCGTTCAGGTGCTTTCTCGAGTTTTTGCAACCAACTACCGCACACGTCGTTCCCGAACCACTTTTCTTCATGTTGTAATTGTAATTTTTATATCCTCTTTGTCACTGCGATATCAGTGCTTTGTCGGCACAACGGAGCTAGCTAGCAAAACAAACCCAGCCCGGCAGAACGGAAGTGGATTGCATCGACGGGAGGAGTTCAGGAAGTAGAGTGGAAACGGCTCAAAAAATTGTCTATAGATATAGAGGCAAAAGAAACGCACCCCTATTTAGGCGAGGTGCTGGCTGACGGCGTAAAACACTTGGAAAAGAAAAGGAAAGCCGCACACTCTAGGAGCTCAGATGTTATAATTTAATATCCTAATAACCAACGTTTCGACAGACAAGCTGTCTTCATCAGGGTATAATGACAAACACTGCTAGTTTATATAGTGTCAAAGGACACACGCAGGTGTCTGTAATCATGGCCGGGTGTGGCCTAATAGCATTGGTTAATTCACAGAAAAACAGAACATACAAAAAACATGGGAAGCATACAATCATAGATACAACTTGGCTACATACAGTCGTGGTCAAAAGTTTTGAGAATGACACAAGTATTGGTCTTCACAAAGTTCGCTGCTTCAGTGTTATGAGATATTTTTGTCAGATGTTACTATGGTATACTGAAGTATAATTACAAGCATTCCATGAGTGTCAAAGGCTTTTATTGACAATTACATTAAGTTTATGCAACGAGTCAATATTTGCAGTGTTGACCCTTCTTTTTCAAGACCTCTGCAATCCGCCCTGGCATGCTGTCAATTAACTTCTGGGCCACATCCTGACTGATGGCAGCCCATTCTTGCATAATCAATGCTTGGAGTTTGTCAGAATTTGTGGGTTTTTGTTTGTCCACCCGCCTCTTGAGGATCGACCACAAGTTCTCAATGGGATTAAGGTCTGGGGAGTTTCCTTTCCTGGCCATGGACCCAAAATGTTGATGTTTTGTTCCCCGAGCCACTTAGTTATCACTTTTGCCTTATGGCAAGGTGCTCCATCATGCTGGAAAAGGCATTGGTCGTCACCAAACTGTTCTTGGATGGTTGGGAGAAGTTGCTCTCGGAGGATGTGTTGGTACCATTCTTTATTCATGGCTGTATTCTTAGGCAAAAATGTGAGTGAGCCCACTCCCTTGGCTGAGAAGCAACCCCACACATGAATGGTCTCAGGATGCTTTACTGTTGGCATGACACAGGACTGATGGTAGCGCTCACCTTGTCTTCTCCGGACAAGCTTTTTTCCAGATGCCCCAAACAATCGGAAAGGGGATTCATCAGAGAAAATGACTTTACCCCAGTCCTCAGCAGTCCAATCCCTGTACATTTAGCAGAATATCAGTCTGTCCCGGATGTTTTTCCTGGAGAGAAGTGGCTTCTTTGCTGCCCTTCTTGACACCAGGCCATCCTCCAAAAGTATTCGCCTCACTGTGCGTGCAGATGCACTCACAGCTGCCTGCTGCCATTCCTGAGCAAGCTCTGCACTGGTGGTGCCCCGATTCCGCAGCTGAATCAACTTTAGGAGATGGTCCTGGCGCTTGCTGGACTTTCCTGGGCGCCCTGACGCCTTCTTCACAACAATTGAACCTCTCTCCTTGAAGTTCTTGATGATCCAATAAATGGTTGATTTAGGTGCAATCTTACTAGCAGCAATATCCTTGCCTGTGAAGCCTTTTTTGTGCAAAGCAATGATGACGGCACGTGTTTCCTTGCAGGTAACCATGGTTAACAGAGGAAGAACAATGATTTCAAGCACCACCCTCCTTTTAAAGCTTCCAGTCTGTTATTCTAACTCAATCAGCATGACAGAGTGATCTCCAGCCTTGTCCTCGTCAACACTCTCACCTGTGTTAACGAGGGAATCACTGACATGATGTCAGCTGGTCCTTTTGTGGCAGGGCTGAAATGCAGTGGAAATGTTTTTGGGGGATTAAGTTCATTTTCATGGCAAAGAGGGACTTTGCAATTAATTGCAATTAATCTGATCACTCTTCATGACATTCTGGAGTATATGCAAATTGCCAACATCAAAACTGATCTTTAAATTAAAGATCCAGGCAGCCTCTCGTTTTAACAATAAGTTGTCGAGGTCACCCCCTCTCCTAGGGAGGGTGACATGTTCGATGCCGATATAACGTAGGGACGAAATCGAGTGGTTCGCTTCCAAAAAGTGGGCAGCGACTGGGTATGTCGAGTTTTTGCACCTAATGGTGCTACGATGCTCCGAGATTCGTACTTTTAATTCGCGCTTTGTTTTACCCACATAATGTTTACCACAAGTACAAGTTATAAGATAAATAACTGCCTTAGTGGAGCACGTAATAACACCTTTGATTGGGATCTGTTTCCCTGTTTGGGGGTGTTTAAAGGATCTACATTTGTAAGTGCCATTGCATTGAGCGCAGCCGTTACACTTGTAGTTTCCATCCGGTAGAGGCGCAAATAGACGTTGTGCAGGGATATTTAGGGGTGGTAAATCCTAGTTTACCAATTGATCTCTGAGGTTTCTGCCCCGCGAGAATACAACCAAGGGAGGGTCCGAAAACACATTACCAATACTGTCATCGGATCTTAGAATGTGCCAATGTGTGTGAACGATTCCCTTAATTTGTTCAGAGCACATAGCGTGTAGTTAGAACGCAAGAAAGCTTATTTTTGCGAGACTGTCCCTGAAAGAGGTCAAGTCTCGATTTGTTTTGAATTTTCTCAATGGCAGTACTAATCTGACCATTTTTGTACCCCCTCTTTTTCCTACCTTTAAGATTTTGAATGGGAAAACACTGGAGTGTGCAGACCTGGGGAACTTAATTGACTGAAGCCAATGATTATAGTTGCATCCCAAATGGCACCCTTTATCTATGTAGGGCACTACTTTTGACCAGGGCCTATTGTCCCGATCGTCAGGGAGAGACCAAGGCGCAGCGTTGAATGCGAACATGATATTTATTAGAATGATCACACGATCAAAATAACAGACGAAAACGTGATGTCTCTGGTTACATAAACAAACCAAATAAGAACAAGAAACCACAAACACAAAGTGAAAGACAGACAGTTAAATATGGCTCCCAATCAGAGACAACCAGCTGACACTCGTTGCCTCTGATTGGGAGTCACTCAGGCCAACATAGAAATACAAACATAGAATTACACACCCTGGCTCAACATAACAGTGTCCCCAGAGCCAGGGCGTGACACCTATAGTGCACTATGTAGGGAATAGGGTGCCATTTGGATCATAGCCTTTGTACAAATGCCCTTTATGTCAGTAATGAAATGTAGATAAGATATTGATGTTTGTTTTATATGTAAAATAGCAGCAAGACAGCAGGTTTAGGAATGTCGCCAGTGGTTCTAGGATTTAGCTCAGAGGGCTAACACAGTATCGTGGTGCGCAGGAGACCTAGGTTTGAACCTAGCTGGTTTCATTAGGAAGCAGGTAACATGGAAGGATACTTATTTCTAAATGTGGAATAGAGACATTGGCTTTGCAGCCTTTTGATATACCAGTCAGTGTTCAATACAAAATAACAGTTAATTAAACTATATCTTACATTCAAAAGCTATGTTTGATGTTGTGGTCCAGCCTTGAAGTGGAAATGTAGGCCTGAATATTTGACTGGGGAAAAGTAACACTAAACAAATGATGTTTAGAATGAGCGGTGTGCTACTGTGAAATAGAAAAGGACTTTTCATGGCACTGACTACAATCGAACAGATTCATTCTCTACTAAAGGCATTCTATGATAAAACTGTTTAATTGTTTATAATGCATACAACATTCACTTTAGTTGAATACTCATGCCAGTCTTAAACTGGAGTGAAATAGAGTGTCAGATTTCTCTCCCTTCCACAGTGATAAAAAGTTCCTGAGAGAAATTAAGGTATACTTGACATTGCTTTAATTAATGTCGTAGTTAAAATGAATCAATGCATTAATCGATTAAGCTACATTTTATTGTCTGTAATAAAGGGTATTATTGTGCAGGTAGGATGAACATACACTACATACAATACAAAACAGTAAAGTCATTCCAATAATAAACAGACCTCATACACATGATCACATGATTCTCCTTCTGGTTAAGATACTGGCTATCAGCTAATACAGCACAGATATAGAGTGCATTGTACAATTAACGAATAGCCATAATTATAAATTACAGATTACATAACATAAATAACTACCAGATTACCTTTGTTAATGCTCAGGTTGCCAAACCAGCCTATAAAATATATACATGCAGATCTGGAATAATAATGCCCAGATATTTGTAATTGTCAACAGTGTATACAACCTGATTTTTTTATAGTCATTTGTTGTGGGGAAGGGAATCGACTAACAATAAATAAATATTTTACAAATTTGTACAAAGTTGCATCAGTGTCCCAACATTTTATTAGGTCTCAGAATCTGAAGAAAGGTTAGTTTCCTCTGACACTTTTGCATCAACATTGGCAAGTTTACACTGGGAGGCAGTGCATCTCCACCTCCTTTTGACGCAAATGAAAATGCCCAACAGAATAACAATCAGCAGCATCACCAGTAGAGCTGAGAGGATGGATAGGTGTACTCTCTCTGCCCCAGACTCCCAACAGACATCCAGCTTGTTGTCCAGACTGAGGTGAGAGGCAGTACAGGTGTAGTTGTGTCTCTTCTTTAGCTCCTCAGTACTGACCTCCAGACTCTTCCTCAGCTGGTAGGTCCCATCTCCACTAGGCAGAACCTCCCCCCCTGTCAGCTCCTGTTCTGCCACTGGCTGGCCGTCTCTCAGTAGGGTCAGGTTGATGTGGCGGGGGTAGAAACCAAACGCCAGGCAGCTCACCTGGAGCCCTCCAGAAACCTCTTTCTTTATCAACCTGAGTCTGGGAGGCACTTTACGCATCACAACGTTCTTCTCTCTCTTCAGGAATCTCTTAAGTGATTTGAGGCAAATGGGAAGTAAAACATTCTCAAATAGTGCTTTTTCATATGTTTGCCTTATCCCATAATATCCTGGTAGTAGTGTCCCAGAATCGTATGTAAAATGTGTCATGCTGTTATATATTGCATGATCTACAAAAATGCCATTAAAAGTCTCCTTAAACATGATCAGGGCCGGTTCACCATGGTCCAACATCTCACATCCAGACATTCTTTGCTGAACTTGAACACCTTCAGTGAGATTCAAGTGGTGCTTTAGGTGAAAGGATCTCTCTTTCATGCTCTGGTATATAATTCCAAATACATAAGCTCCGTCCTGAGCTAGGTCATCATGTATTTTGTCTGTTGGGTTAAGTCCCCTGTAGATAAAGTGTTTATTGTTGGAGTCATAGTAACCCACTTGAACATCATCCAACATCACCACAACTGTAAACTCAGGGAAAGGCGTCTCTCCGCTTATATATGTTCCAAGTGCCCACAGAGAATGTGATCCTGAACCTGGGAGAGGAGTGATATTATACAGTTATGGACATTTTACGTTTTATAACATAACACATCATTAAATGAGTTTGATAGAAAGTAAGTAGTCCATCTTACCTGCGTTGACAATGGTGTAAAAGGAAAGAAAAAACAAGAAGACAGACAGTTTGTCCATGATTTTGAGTGTTCACTATTTTCCAATAGCCTCGTGTAGCAGGTTTCTAGCTCTCAAGTGAATCTGAGCATGTGTGCGGCTTGGTTCACTTGTGCGTGTGTATGTGTGCATTAGCCTGCTAATTCTGCCCCTCTCTTTTTTCCACCTGTCCAGCTGTCCTCATACATACACACAAACACAATCCTCCCATCCCGTCTCCTCTCGGAGTGTGTGTGCAGGAATGTGAATTTTTAATGACACCTTCTGAACACAGTTTACGATCCAAACAAACTTGTATAAGAGGCTAAATAAGATGTGGACCACTTTGCCAAGAAAATGACTGACTGTTGCCTTTAAATCAATGAAACAGGAAAAGGAAGGGAAAGTTTTGGGGCAACTCTTGACTTGAATCGACTTGTGGAAAATATCAGTTTCCCAGCAATACAGCTAGCCAAATATTAACCACTGCCGAAGAAGTGTGAAATTTATCCACACTGCCTGATAATGTTTTTGCACAGATCTACAGTATAGTATCTGTCCAGTCATATGGTCCATCACATTAGATATTCTATAGTATCTGTCCAGTCATATGGTCCATCACATTAGATGTTCTATAGTATCTGTCCAGTCATATGGTTCATCACATTAGATGTTCTATAGTATCTGTCCAGTCATATGGTCCATCACATTAGATGTTCTATAGTATCTGTCCAGTCATATGGTCCATCACATTAGATGTTCTCTAGTATCTGTCCAGTCATATGGTCCATCACATTAGATGTTCTATAGTATCTGTCCAGTCATATGGTCCATCACATTAGATGTTCTATAGTATCTGTCCAGTCATATGGTCCATCACATTAGATATTCTATAGTATCTGTCCAGTCATATGGTCCATCACATTAGATGTTCTATAGTATCTGTCCAGTCATATGGTCCATCACATTAGATGTTCTATAGTATCTGTCCAGTCATATGGTCCATCACATTAGATGTTCTATAGTATCTGTCCAGTCATATGGTCCATCACATTAGATATTCTATAGTATCTGTCCAGTCATGTGGTCCATCACATTAGATGTTCTCTAGTATCTGTCCAGTCATATGGTCCATCACATTAGATGTTCTCTAGTATCTATTTGACTTTGTCAAAGCAACAAAATAGCTAGGGCTTTACAATGATGGTAAAAATTGGGAGACATTTTGGGATTAAGTGGGTTGAAATCTTCCTAGAAGTGACACATTGTTGACGGAGGGACATGTCAAAATGCTGAATTTTAGCACTTTAGCTAGCCATTATTTATATAAAAAAATATGATTTATTGAATTCTCCACCTGAAGAACCCAATTCTGTTTTTTCCCCTACATCCAATCTTTTTTTCTGACTGTCCACACGCAGTTTTACATGTGACCCATATCAGATTTACGCATTTACACTGATGTAGCCTCTGAAGTAGCACACAGATGCAATGCTCATTTCCTGTCACTGTTCCTTAACATTTTTGGGGTGGTTGTCATGGTAATGGCCGGTCATGTGTAAACAATTCCGAGTAAAGAAAATTTGATTTGAGCGTCCAGACTGAGATCACATTTTACGTTTTATAACATAACAAATCATTAAATGAGTTTGATAGAAAGTAAGTAGTCCATCTTACCTGCGTTGACATTGGTGTAAAAGGAAAGAAAGAACAAGAAGACAGACAGTTTGTCCATGATTTTGAGTGTTCACTATTTTCCAATAGCCTCGTGTAGCAGGTTTCTAGCTCTCAAGTGAAGTGACAGACTTTTCTTTTCACTTATCAAAACAAGGTCTTTTAATGTTGTTGAACGAGTCAAACAAGTGGAGTTGGGAATTCAAAACAAAGAAAACTGAGGGTGGAATGAGGAATAGAGGGTGAGTCATGTTGCATGTTGCGCGCACAGCCAAACACCAGTCATATGACACTCTAAATGAATTACAAAAATCGTTCAGTGAAATCCTTAGACCTGAATGTGTGTGTGTGATCATGTTCATTTTCTGTCTGTCTGTCTGTCTGTCTGTGATACACATTTGTGCTAGAGTGTGCAGCATGTGTGCGGCTTGGTTCACTTGTGCGTGTTTATGTGTGCATTAGCCTGCTAATTCTGCCCCTCTCTGTTTTCCACCTGTCCAGCTGTCCTCATACATACACACAAACACAATCCTCCCATCCCGTCTCCTCTCGGAGTGTGTGTGCAGGAATGTGAATTTTTAATGACACCTTCTGAACACAGTTTACAATCCAAACAAACTTGTATAAGAGGCTAAATAAGATGTGGACCACTTTGCCAAGAAAATGACTGACTGTTGCCATTAAATCAATGAAACAGGAAAAGGAAGGGAAAGTTTTGGGGCCATCGACTTGTGGAAAATATCAGTTTCCCAGCAATACAGCTGGCCAAATATGAACCACCATTAGGTATTGTATCCACTCTAACTCAGTTGGAACATGCTTTGGAACGGAGACTTTGACCCATTTAGTTTCGGTTATTTGTGCTTTTGGATGGATATTACAGTAGCCATCTTTTGTTTTAAAATGGCAGGGTGACATTCAATTATGTATGAATTATATTGCCATACAAAGTTTTAAAACAGTAGCTGCTCATATAAAAGTTATTTGTCTATTTAATAGTACAAACAAACAGACATAGTTGTTGCTTATGTTTAGTTCCTATAACTGTTCAACCCTAGACTTTTATAATAGAATTCTGAATGACTAACTAAGGAGTGCCTTATTCTTATATTTTTATTTCAGGATAAAAATGTTCCCTAACATTTTGGGGGTGGTTGTCATGGTAATGGCAGGTCATGTGCAAACACTTAAGAGCAAATAAAATGTGATTTTTGCTTCCAGACTGAGATCACATGTGGAGCCGAATTGTATCAGGTTTGAGATCCAAATAATTGGCAGAAGGGGGGGAATCAGCTAATTTCCTACATTTCAACACATTTTGCCATGGTGCAGTAAGAAGAATTAGCAGTTTTATAATGTTATTCTACACATTTTGTCATGAGGTTAAAATAAAATGTTGCAGTTTTAAAGCTAATTTCCTGCAATTCCACACTTTTTGCTATCACATGCTATTTGGGGGCCCCCGACCTCCAAGTCTGTCCGTCCCTGCTTGTGTGTGTGACTGTGTGGCTGTGTGTGTGTCAGATATGGACATTGTTGGTTATTTTGTGCCCCAGTGCAATTTCAGGAAGGATGAACGACAACCAGGCAAGTTTCACAATGAACAATACTTTCTTTGGAAAAGGGTAGACAGCATTAACTCTTGACTCATTTCAGATTGACAAATGACATTTACTCTTTATGAGGTATTAGTCTCCAAGACAAATACAATTCAGCCTTTTTCTTCCTTTAGGTTAAACACTGGAGCGTGCAGACTTGGGGAACTTAATTGACTAAAGCCAGTAAATATGGCTACATCCCAAATGGCACCCTATTCCCTATATAGTGCACTACTTTTAACCAGGGCCCATAGTGCACTATGTAGGGAATAGGGTGCTATTTGGAGCACAGCCTTTGTACACATGCCCTTTATGTCAGTAATGAAATGTAGATAAGATATTGATGTTTGTTTTATATGTAAAATAGCAGCAAGACAGCAGGTTTAGGAATGTCGCCAGTGGTTCTAGGATTTAGCTCAGAGGGCTAACACAGTATCGTGGTGCGCAGGAGACCTAGGTTTGAACCTAGCTGGTTTCATTAGGAAGCAGGTAACATGGAAGGATACTTATTTCTAAATGTGGAATGGAGACATTCCAGTTAGTGTTCAATACAAAATAACAGTTAATTAAACTATATCTTACATTCAAAAGCTATGTTTGATGTTGTGGTCCAGCCTTGAAGTGGAAATGTAGGCCTGAATATTTGACTGGGGAAAAGTAACACTAAACAAATGATGTTTAAAACGAGCGGTGTGCTACTGTAAAATAGAAAAGGACTTTCATGGCACTGACTACAATCAAACAGATTCATTCTCTACTAAAGGCATTCTATGATAAAACGGTTTAATTGTTTATAATGCATACAACATTCACTTTAGTTGAATACTCATGCCAGTCTTAAACTGGAGTGAAATAGAGTGTCAGATTTCTCTCCCTTCCACAGTGATAAATAAGTTCCTGAGAGAAATTAAGGTATACTTGACATTGCTTTAATTAATGTCGTAGTTAAAATGAATCGATGCATTAATCGATTAGGCTACATTTTATTGTCTGTAATAAAGGGTATTATTGTGCAGGTAGGATGAACATACACTACATACAATACAAAACAGTAAAGTCATTCCAATAATAAACAGACCTCATACACATGATCACATGATTCTCCTTCTGGTTAAGATACTGGCTATCAGCTAATACAGCACATATATAGAGTGCATTGTACAATGAATGAATAGTCATGATTAGAAATTGCATTACAGAAATAACTACCAGATTACCTTTTTTAATGCTCAGGTTGCCAAACCAGCCTATAAAATATATGAATTCAGATCTGTACTAATAATGCGCAGATATTTGTTATTGTCAACAGTCTACCCAAACTGATCCGTTACAGTCCTTTGTTGAGGGGAAGGGAAGATTGACTGACAATAACAGAATATTTTGCACATTTTGTGTCTGCCCTCATAGATGCTCTGGCAGTTATATTTTCATTGTGAATTGAGCTGAATTGACAAAGTTGCATCAGTGTCCCAAAAATATATTAGGTCTCAGAATCTGAAGAAAGGTTAATTTCCTCTGACACTTTTTCATCAACGTTGGCAAGTTTACACTGGGAGGCAGTGCATCTCCACCTCCTTTTGACGCAAATGAAAATGCCCAACAGAATAACAATCAGAACCATTACCAGTAGAGCTGAGAGTGTGGATAGGTGTACTCTCTCTGCCCCAGACTCCCAACTGACATCCAGCTTGTTGTCCAGACTGAGGTGAGAGGCAGTACAGGTGTAGTTGTGTCTCTTCTTTAGCTCCTCAGTACTGACCTCCAGACTCTTCCTCAGCTGGTAGGTCCCATCTCCACTAGGCAGAACCTCCACCCGTCAGCTCCTGTTCTGCCACTGGATGGCCGTCTCTCAGCAGGGTCAGGTTGATGTGGCGGGGGTAGAAACCAAACTCCAGGCAGCTCACCTGGAGTCCTCCAGAAACCTCTTTCTTTATCAACCTGAGTCTGGGAGACACTCTACGCATCACAACGTTCTTCTCTCTCTTCAGGATTGTCTACAGTGTTCTGATGCAAATGGGATGCCAAGCATTCTCAAATAGTACTCTTTCATGTGCTTGCCTCATCCCATAATATCCTGGTAGTAGTTTCCCAGCATCGTATGTCAAATGTGTAATGTTGAAATATGCTGCATAATATGTATAAATGGCATAAAAAATCTCCTTAAACATGAACATGGCCGGTTCACCATTGTCCAACATCTCACAGCCAGCCATTCTTTGCTGAACTTGAACACCTTCTGTGAGGTTTAAGTGGTGCTTTAGGTTAAATGATCTCTCTTTCATGTGGTGGTACATAATTCCAAATACATAAGCTCCGTCCTGAACTTCGTTATCATGTATTTTGTTAGGGGTGTTATGTACCCTGTAGATAAAGTGTTTCATGTTGGAGTCATAGTAAGCCACTTGAACATCATCCAACATCACCACAACCGTAAACTCAGGGAAAGGCGTCTCTCCGATGATGTGTGTTGCAAGTGCCCACAGAGAATGTGATCCTGAACCTGGGAGAGGAGTGATATTATACAGTTATGGAAAATGACATTTCATAACATAATAAATAATTAATTAAGTTTGAGAGAAAGTCCATCTTACCTGCGTTGACAATGGTGTAAAACGAATGAACAAATAAAAAGACAGACAGTTTGTCCATGATTTAGAAAGTGTTCACTACTTTTCCAGCAGCTTCATGTAGCAGGTTTCTAGCTCTCGAGTGAGTCTGACAGACTTTAGCTGATTAAAAACAAGGTAGGATAATTTAATGTTGTTGAAAGAGTCAAAACAAGTAGAGGTGGGAATTTTATTTCAAGCCTTTTAACACTGAGGGTGGAATGAGAACAGAGGGTGGGTGAATCATGTTACATGTTGCATACGCAGCCAAACACCAGTCAGATGACACTGGAAATGAAATACAAAAAAACTTTCAATGGAATAGGCGTCTCCATGCTTCCCAGCAGAAACAGTTCGGAAGAGTTCGTGAATACATTATGACGACATTTTGTGACGTTTATGTTCGTTTTGGACTTCGCTAAGGGTTTTTCGGTTGTTCGGGCACACAAAAAAAATTCTCGATGCGAGCCGAAATCGGTAGCCGAAGTCAGCGCCCCTTCGTCGTTGATTGGTCAACAAATTAATGAAAGATTTCTTGAGTTATTTTGAGGAAGTGTATACTGGCTATGGCGTCTCAAAATGGACAAAAGGACTATTGCTGCTTTTTTCTCGTTTTTTAAGCGAAGGTCTTTTAAAGCAGGCCCCCCTTCCAGCATTGGGGAACATAGATGTAGTTTGAGGAGAGAAGAGTTGGAGAGACTTGCACTTTGTCTTGAGCTATTTTTATAGCCTACCTTTTAGGAGTGGGACGATTTTCAGACAGAGACATATGGGTGATCAATATTTATTTCTAGGCAATGTAAAAAATATATATAGCCTAATTATATTTAGGAAGTAGATTTCCTTGGAAAGATAACTGCCCCGTGCTTCTCTGCCCATGCTTAGACTATAGCCTACTCTATTTAATTGAGACCACACACGCACCTGATCTCGCAGGTATGGCTACTTGAAGCAGCAAAAAGGAGGACAGTGACACTTGGTAGATTTTTCATATAGGATATAGCCTCCGTTTTAGGAGGTCGATTTGCAGGCATAGACAAATAAATGGGTAATCAATATATATTGAAAATGAAAAGGCGCAAGACTAACATGTGAGCACGTTGTGCCTTTTCCTTCGACTCACATTGGTTAAGCGCCCTCCACTTCTTTCCATTATTCATATTTATTTACAGACACTGTAGTAAACTACAGTCTAATTATATTTAAGTTAACTGCCACGTTCTCTGCCCATGTATTCTCCGCCGATGTATTCAGCCTCTTCTATTTCAATGAGACCACACATACTAGGAGCACTTGAACTCGCACGCCCAACTAGGAGAGGAGAGAGGCTACTGAATTTGAAGCAGCGAATTCTGTGTGTGAATAATGCGAAAAATATGTGCTTTTAATACAATATGTAGGCTAACGCATACAAAGCAGAAAGACGACCGTTTCCAAATAATCTGCGGGACAACAACAAAAGTCGTCTGTCTGACTGCCTGCTCCTGCCCACAGCATGAAAAATGCAGACCGCGCTGCAATGATCTCTGTCGGGACCGTGGGCATCCCGTGGGAATGCAGCCCTCATGGTGGTGATTGAGAGAAAACAGACGGGCTGGAAGTATCAACAACCGTCATAGCGCGTCAAATTAGAAAGCAAGTCTATTGGAAAGCAAGTCTACACAAAGCAATGCTGGTAAAAGGTGCAGATAAATTGCCCGAAAATAGACTGATGTTATGTTAAATGGACTGTTGTGTTAAAATAGACTGTTGCATTGTTATGTCTGGGATTGTGATATGTATAGTTAAAAAGTGTCTATTTAGTGTTGATAAGTTTAACTGCCAATGCCAATAATACATACTATTTGAAAACATGTATGCTGGCTCCCATAGGACATATAAAGTTAGTTAACAGGAACACACAACAATAATTCACAAGGACTACATAGCGAACATAACAAATACAACTGTTTATTATGGATTCTCATGAAAATGAAGATGGTATATGCTACCCTGTGTATGTGAATTGACGCTCTCTACTCTCCCACACAAATGTTGATGACGCTGTCTCTCTGTGTGGTTTCATCTTAAGGGAGTATGCAAGCAGACGTTCTGTTCACACTCATTCGGTTCGCCTAGCCGAGTACTGAAGCATGCTGATGCTGACCTGAATATGTGTGTGTGTTCATGTTCATGTCTGTTGTCTGTCTGTCTGTCTGTATGTCTGTCTGTCTGTGACAAATATTTGTGCTAGTGTCTGTGTGCATGCAGCATGTGTCCATTTGTGCATTTGTATGTGGGACCAATATATTTTAGGCTTATTCAGTGTGTGATAGCAGTGGACTTACCCCATTCGGACACTTTGTAGCTGTTGAAGGAACACTTGGATGTCCCCTGGATGTCCCCTGACACCACCACAATGTTTAAGAGAGGCTGATATTGTAGAAATTGTGTTTTTATCGTGACTAATAACTGTTAGGCATATTCAATGTGTAATAGCAGTGGAATGACCTAATTTACACACTTAGGACACTTTGGAGAGGTTGAGGGGACACTTGGAGATGTCCCTTGACCGCACCTGACACCCCTTATTACACGTCAGTAAAGTTCTAGCTGTTATGTCTATCAATCCCAGAAGTTTTTGACCATCTGATGTGTTTCCAGCTCTATTCATCAATAATTGACTTATAGCTTGTCCATGAAAGATGACTTGAAAAAATAAGAAATAAAAAAATAAAACCGGTTACTTTGTGTATGCTTGATCTTGTGTGATCTGAACTGTGAAATTCCTATCTATGTTATGACCATTTCCTCATCATCTCCCAGGTGTGGTCTTTCCAATGATACCAAGTGTATGAATATCCTTATCATATAACTGCTCCTGCTACTTTTGGGTATGTCTATTTAGGCGGAAATCTACATTTCTGCCATTACATTTAAGAGGTACATTTAAGAGGTTAAATCAATGAAACAGGAAAAGGAAGGGAAAGGTTTGAGGCCACTCTTGATTAGACTTCTCTAAAAGACCAGTTTCCTAGAAATACTTCTGGCCAAATATGAACCACCATTAGGTAATGTATCCACTCTGACTCAGTTGGAACATGCTTTGGAACGGAGACTTTGACCCATTTAGTTTCGGCTGTTTGTACTTTTGGATGGATATTAGAGTAGCCACCTTTTGTTTTAAAATGGCAGGGTGAGATTAAATTATATATGAATTATATTGCCATACAAAGTTTTAAAACAGCAGCTGTTCATATAAAAGCTCTTTGTCTGGGCCTCCCGAGTGGCGTCACTACAGACCCGGGTTCGATCCCGGGCTGTATCACAACCAGCCGTGATCGGGAGTCCCATAGGGCAGCTCACAATTGGCCCAGTGTCGTCCGGGTTAGGGGAGGGTTAGGCCGGGTGGGCTTTACTTGGCTCATCATGCTCTAGCAACTCCTTGTGGCGGGCCGGGTTCCTGCAGGCTGACTGCAGTAGTCAGTTGAACAGTGTTTACTGACACATTGAAGCGGCTGGCTTCCAGGTTAAGCAGGCGAGTATTAAGAAGCACGGTTTGGCGGGTCATGTTTCGGAGGACGCATGACTTGACCTTCGCCTCCCACACCTGTTGGGGAGTTGCAGCGATGAGACAAGATCGAAATTGTGGGTAAAAAATGAACTCTGTCTGTTTAAAAGTACAACCAAATACAGTATATTGTAGGTCTTGCTTATGTTTAGTTCTTATAACTGTTCAACCCTAGACTTTTATAATATCATTCTAAAAGACTAACTAAGGAGTGCCTTATTCTTGTATTTTTTTTTCAGGATGTGGAGTGGTAGTAGACAGTCTAGCAGAGTTAGGGTTGCAAAATTCCACTAACTTTCCCAGAATTCCTAGGTTTTCCCTCCTGATTGCAGAAATCTTCCAACATGGATTTCTGGAAAACCTGGGAATTTTGGGAAGGTTACCAGAATTTTGCAACCCTAAGCCGAGCCAAGCCAAGCTAATAAAAACAATTTCAATGCCAGGGAAACTCTTCTCTGACTGTAGCAGAAGCCTAGTGGCGGGTTCAAGTGGAGTCATTTCCCTGGGCGGCTGAACCGACACGCTCCTGTGTAGGAGCCATTTAATAAGCTAAACTTATTCCTCATTCCTCCTTGCTTGGAAAACCACAGGGATTTCAAACGTCAGATCTCTCCTCCTTCCCCCAGCCATTTGATAGGATTTGATTTTGTCTTTGTTTTTGAGGGCAATTTCACACCCGAGTGTGAGATATGGGGGAGATAGGAGGGAGATTCAGCCCTAAGGCGATGGTGTCTGTGTGTGTCGTGAAATGTCACTCGTTTGCCTTCTTATAAAAGGGGATCGCGCATAGTGTGTGCTAGATTGAAGGCTCATGAGATTTGATAGGCAAGCATTGCTTAACATTCAGCTGGCGGGTGTGACGGTATGTGTGTGTGTGTTTCAAGTTTCAAGTTATATTGTCACGTGCACAAATACAGTGAAATGCCTTTCTTGCGAGCTCTATTGGCCATATATCACAAACCCCTGAGGTGCCTCATTGCTATTATAAAGTGTTTACCAATGTAATTAGAGCAGTAAAAATAACTGTTTTGTCATACCCGTGGTATACGGGCTGATATACCACTGCTGTCAGCCAATCAGCATTCAGGGCTCAAACCACCCAGTTTATAAAATAAAGTAAAGTAGAACAAAAACACATGAGTAAGGAAGAAAGCTACTGTATATACAGGGACAGTTCCAGGGTCAGTAGCTATATACAGGGACAGTTCCAGGGTCAGTAGCTATATACAGGGACAGTTCCAGGGTCAGTGGCTATATACAGGGTCAGTTCCAGGGTCAGTGGCTATATACAGGATCAGTGGCTATATACAGGGACAGTTCCAGGGTCAGTGGCTATATACAGGGTCAGTTCCAGGGTCAGTAGCTATATACAGGGTCAGTTCCAGGGTCAGTAGCTATATACAGGGTCAGTTCCAGGGTCAGTAGCTATATACAGGGTCAGTTCCAGGGTCAGTGGCTATATACAGGGACAGTTCCAGGGTCAGTAGCTATAT